AGTATGTATCAGTATTTAATATTTATTTATTTAATTTTGTTTGTTTTTTTATTAATAATCGGTTACATGTTCAAATAGTACATGGAACCTAAGCGCTGCCTACAGACGACTATTAATCACACCATATCTATATGTAACGTGAAGGAAGACGATACTCTGAATCGTCTTCTGAATACAAGCTATACAAACTGTTTATCAAATTCCTGAGTCTAGAATATTGTAGATATTCATATTCTCAATAAATGCGACCGGACTATATACGCCAGCTATTGCGGGGACAGCCGAGTATCTGCCGTATACAAGGCTCTTTAAGTGTGTGTAAGGTAGAAGCTACTGTCGATATGGTCGCTCTAATATTGACTACATATATACACTGCTTTGAATTTTCGAAAATTCAATGATCAATTTCTAAGCTCGGAATCTCTGCAAAGCTAAAAAACGACTATAGTATAATGTCGACAACCATTCCTTCATCAAGTACCCATAGGATCAATTCAATGATCAATGAATTCGATGAATTTTCGAAAATTCAATGATCAATTTCTAAGCTCGGTATCTCTGCAAAGCTAAAAAACGACTATAGTATAATGTCGACAAACATACCTTCATCAAGTACCATAGGATCAATTCTTTACGGCCATATTATGCAGACGTTTCTGGAATGTCAACGGAACTATTTTTTTAGGAACGCGGTGCAATATTGTATATTACTATCTTTCTTCAAACTTTTTCAAAAATCTACTGAAATTAAAACAAATAATTAAATAAAAAGAGTACTAAAAATAATCCTAAAGGCGAATAGAAATGGGAAAACTCATATGATTATTTGTCTAATATACCTGAATCAAAAACTAATAGGAACAACGACAAATATTTGGGAGTCGAAGAAAACAGTAGTTAGTACTTGGCTTTAAGCGCTGTATGTTTATGTATAAAATATGTTATCTCTGGTATTAATATGCGGACATGTATACTCTCTTAAGAGGTTGCAACGTAGTATATTTTATGCAACAAGCTGCTCAAATACACCGAGTAAATTGAATGTTTTTAGCAACATTTCTATATTTTTATCTTAATTTGCTTTTTATTTGAATTTGCGTATGTACGTTTATACTTTTTATTACAACTTTTAAAAAATAATTTTTTAAATTCTATATAATTTTGGTCGTCTTCTTAGGTGATAATGCAGTTGTAACAATGTTTTTGCTCATGGTCGAACAAATGTTGCGTAGAAACCATAAACATTATTGCTTAGCTTTAAAGCAATATATACAATTTTTGTATTTTGCTTGTCATAGATGAATTTGACAACAACATGAACTGACAGACCATAAACTGTCATGAAGAGTGAAATTTATTTTGTTTTGTGCCTAACGTACATTTTTAATCGTTGAAGAGTCGTCCGGATTGCTTTCGCGTGCGGAAGCGTATTTAATTCAAACACAGACGATGCTTTAGCGATACTTTTGTAAGAGAGAGTTGTCATCGTCCGCGAATCGCTTAGACGCGCAACTATTCGCTCCCCAAAACCATCGCGAAGGCGGCCAAATGAACGCTAAGCGCAATCATAAAAATATTGTTATTAATGCACAAATCTCCAACCATCATTATATGATTGGAAATTTGTCATTCACTTGCTTACATAATCCACACTCTTCGAAAGCGGTACAACGAAATATGACACGCAACACTTCAATGGAACCCCCAATGCAACTAACACAAAGGAAGACGATGTAGCACCTGAAGAAGAATGATAACAAATAACACCAGCAAAACTTTAAATGAATTACGTTATATTTCTAGAGGTAGAAATTATTATTGGAGATTCTATATAACAAATCTATACTCCTGATGGAGTACGGGAAATAATAATTATACTAATACACAAGTATAATTTTATGTAATATATATTATATTTAATATACTATATTTATATATTTTAAAATATAATTGATTAATACAAACCAAATATATATATAAATAAATATATCAATTTTTCCTGTAATCTAAATAACTAAAACAGTTTTATTACAAATAAAAAAATAATTTTTCAATCCTTCAATATAGGATATGATTTCATCTATTGTGTGAGTTCTCACAGGTTTTGCAAGTTCCAAGATAACATGTTTATAATTTGCAATTTCTGTTTTACTTAACTGTAATCAAGGTTCAATTAATTTTCAAGTTTTGATTTTTTGTTGATGATATGTCCATTACGAACATTAATTTTGTCTACGCATTCATAATAACATATTTGTGGTTTTTTAACTATATTATTCACAATGGGCCTATAAGCCTAAGAGTATCCCTCTGGGATCGCCGGTACAACCTAACCTAACTATATTATATTTCTATGGTGAGTGCTTGACATTAATAATAATATTTATTAAATTTGTTTAATTAGTTCAAATAAATTGAATATTAAAATTTTTATAAAATTTTTATAAATTTATTATTAATAAAATATATAACATAAATATATTATTATATATATATATATTATTATATATTATATATATTATTATATATTATTATATTATATTAACATAAATTTATTATTTATAAAAAATATATAAATTTATAGTATAAAATTCTGGCAGCATCAGTAATTATTTTGCAATAAATATTTGTTTTTTCATCATTTTTACAATTGTTTTGTAAAAAACGAGAAAAGAAGTAAACACTAACGGCATACTTATAAAGTTTTGTTTTTGCTTTTTGCTTTTCTTATGTATTTGCGGTACTTCATTAATATATTTTTATATTCCGCGTAATTAATTTGTTTTTGTATTTTTATTATAAACAATAAATAATTTATTTTATTTATATACGCATATACTATTGAACATAAAATAATAGTACAAAAATAAAGAATATTTCTCTGTTTTTCCTACCTTAAATATTATTTTGCCGTCATCAAATCCAAACACTTATAAGAAAATGCAGAAGTGGTAAAAACAATCAAAACACTACACCATTCCATATTTTATTGTATTTATTTTAATATAATTATTAATATAATACTGTACAAGCACAATCAAAAAAGTTTAACTAATAAGCTTCGCTTTCATTTAAAAATTGTCAAAGCAATCACACCAATAACGGATTTAAAAAATAAGCCAAACAAGAGCCAAAGCTTTGCTATTGCTCGTTGCAGGGTTGCATTTCAGTTCAAACTTTAAAGTTTAAGTTAAAAAAAGTTGCAGAATAAAGATTAATTTTAAATGTTACTTAAAAGTCTTTTATTAACAATTTTTTTGTCATTTATAAAAACAGCATAAAAAAAGTTCATTAAGGGTATCTGTCACCATTGTTACGCTCATACTAATACATTTTTATTACCATAAATCCCACTGCTTAACAATCTTATTTTTATTCCGTAGTATAATAAAGTACTTTAAAAAACCTAATTATATTTCTATATTTTTTTTTTATTATTTAATAATATATAACAAACAAATAATAATTTTTATTTTTTTCAATAAAAAAAACAAAAATTATTTAAAAGCAATATTGTAAACTTAAAAAGTAAAAAACGAATTTTATATTTATTATTGCATATATAGTCCTTTTCTATATAAAGTTGCCAAGGTTTCAAAACCTTTTGACTTTTTCATCAGACAGCATACCGCACTTTTTTTTTTGTTTTTGTTTAAAGGATATAAATCACATTTTTTTAAGATATTTTACAAAACAGCTTTTTAAAAATATAATTACATTAGCTGGCACTTATTTTAAACTAAAATAAGATAAATCATCTTTGGGGTTATATTCACTATCAGAAACGTAAGATCAATTTGACGACAACATGAACTGATAGTTCAGTTTACACCTTCATGAACTGTGATGAAGCGTGAAATTTGTTTTGTTTTGTGTAAACGTATAAAATGCTTGTGTGGAGTAGTGCATAGCACAGAAATTCAAAGTATTCACAAACACCAAAACATAACATTGTATATGTATGCGTGTCAAGCTTAAAAAATAAGCAGCAAATTTCATTGCTTGAAATTCATGAACTAACATCACACTCTATCGGCAGCCGGTTTTCAAGTTCATGTTCATGTTACGTTCATGATAGTGTAAATTGGGCCATTCAATTTAATGCCTAAGCAATTTTCTATCAATCTTCCCCTAACTCCATTATTTACATGTTAAGATAGCCTCGTTTAGCGCTGTTTTGCATTGCGGTCTATTTTGATGGAACCTGTCCTACGCGTTAAGCGGGGTCTTACTGTATATACAATTTTTGTTTTTTGCTTGCCATTGATTTAGAATAATTCAAAATAATTGATTTAGAATTATTCTAAATCAATGTTTGCAAATAAGCATGTAGTAGAAAAGTAGCAAGAATATGTTTGTTATACTAGCCGAGACACACATCATTGTGGTACATATGCCATCCCAGTGTCCAATGTGCCTAACCACAATGGATTAAATCCACAGACATAAATGTTTTTATAACACTTTCGCACAGTTCTCTGCATTTTTTGATTGAACCTGTCCTACGTGTTAAGCGGGGTCTTACTGTATATACAATTTTTGTTTTTTGCTTACCATTGATTTAGAATTATTCTAAATCAATGTTTACAAATAAGCATGTAGTAGAAAAGTAGCAAAAATATGTTTGTTATACTAGCCGAGACATACACCACTGTAGTACATACACTATTCCAATGTCCAATGTGCCTAACCACAATGGATTAAATCCACATATTATAAATGTTTTTATAACACAGTTCTCTGCATTTTTTGCATTTTCTACGTTTTCTTTACGCATTTTGTATGAACGAGTATTTTACTGTTCACACTGCAACGGAACAGTGAGTGCTGGAAAATAGAATATAAATATATTAAATTGTGCATATAAATAAATATTTGAATATTGTTTATATTTTTAATAGGCATATAAAAACATTTTATAATAAGTGTTATAACAATTAATAAAATAGGAAATTAAAATTAAGTAACTTATTTTGTGTATTTGCGGTACGTGTTTCGCCAATAACAAAAACAGCTGTGCTTTGTTTGTATGAAGAAAATTTCATTTTCGTTTTTGGAAATAAAATAAGCACCAGGGCCGGTTGCGAAAATGTCTGCAGAGAGTAAAGCCGGTTCAGTTTGGACGAGAAGCGAAACGCTCTTGTTAATAAAGGAGTTTGCGAAGAGACCATTTCTATATCAAGCGTCACATCCCGATTTCTTAAAAATCCCAAAAAAAAGGGCCGCCTATTTAGAAATAGTGCAGGAACTAAAAGATGTGAAGGAGAACGTTGACGAAGTCCAAGTAAAGAATAAAATAAGAACCTTGACCCAGCAAATGAGGCAGGAAAAACATAAAATGAGAAAGAAGAGCGAAATGGGATCTGAAGAGGTATTTAGAAGCAGTTTGTGGTGCTTTGAGGAGCTGTCGTTTCTGCTGAATGCCAACGACGAAAACGACAGCACAGCAAGTGTATCAGTGGCGGAGGTAGTAGGAATTAATCACATTTTATTTTATTTAATTTAAATGATGTGTACATATTATTTTCACAGGTTACTCAAAGTAATGAATTGTGTGAGCTGGAAGAGGAGCCGCAGCCAAAGAAGAAGAAGAGTGACAATCAGATGGAAAAACTGGTAACAGTGGCGGAGCAATCAATGGAAATGATAGCATCTCTTTCAAATAAGTCACAATCGCCTATAGATGCCTTCTGCCGTTTTATAGCTTCAGAAATGAAGCATCTGAAATATGAGGAAAGCATTGACAAACTTCAGATGATGATTTTGAGCGACATCACTAAAATTAAACAAGAAGAAAGGCAAATGCATCGAAATCCTCATTCCTGGAGATATGGGTCGGAGTTGTCTGCAACAAGGATGCCAATACCATTTGAATCTAATATACAATGTTCAGATAATGCAAACATCACTTCAAATACTTCAACTTCTTCAGAAGTAGATTACAATTATGGAATATCAACGTCTGCCACACAAACCACTTCAAATTCAAAATTTTCTGTGGAAGAAATATCTATCAAACAAGAGTAACGAGTATCAATAATCATTATGAGTATCGATGTGAACTTATCAGTTTCAACTTCCTCCATCCGTAAGTTGCAAGTAGTGAATCTGCGATAAATTTTTCAATCAAGATTTACTTTTAGTGCAATTTTTACTTTCGATTACTAAATCTCGAGCGAAATGTATAACACCCGAGACTAATTTATAACACTAGATATTTTGCCAACGTAGCAAGATTATCCTGAAATTATATGATTTGATAGATAAAGTGTGATTTGATTCAATATATATATTTATGAAAAATATAAATATCTTACAATGCTATAAAAAATATTAGACTACTCTCAAAATGTTCGATGAGGCAACAAAATTTGACAAGTCGAGAGTGAATCTAGATTGAATTCAGGTTTACTAATCAAAAACTTAATAATTATACACGTTTCTTAAATAACAGTAATTTTCACGTTCAGTTTAATTAATAATATATTTAAATTGCAGTTCACATAAATAAGACGTCAACCATCAAACCAAAATACACTCCATCTCACGCCCTATGCAGTAACAACGTTAACGGATCAACACAAGTACCAAATGCTACAATATAGCTTACCACATATATTTTATTTTTAATCATAATAATATTAATTTCTAATATTAGAGTTAAGAAATAAATTTACAATATTAAGTAACAAATTTTTAATATAGAAATTTTGCCTATGTAAACACAACTGACTGAATAAACACTGACTCTGAGTTTCAAATTTAACAGGGTACGAGTTGAACCCTCGGATACTTGCAGGCTCAAAAAATTATTTACGAATAATTAAATGCGAGAAATAAATCCAAGACTACCGATGTTGGGTATTTGGCAGTACTCGAAACGGCTGTAAGGTCAACAAAAATTCAATTAATTAAAAAAAATTTATTGTAATTTACTACTGTTCGTTTTAAAAACCTGGCTTTTGAAAACAATAGTTTATATTAAAAATTTAATTTCATTTGCCAAAACGGCCATTTAAAATTAATTTATTATAAATATTTTAGTAAATTATTTTACACACTTTATTAGTAATATTAATTATTCTAGCTTTTGCCTTCATTCTGAAAATAATTAGCAAATTTATCACGGATAAATGCTGCATTTTCTAAATTTTCTATAAATTCGGCAGAAAAATCTTCCTCCTCCATGTCATTTGGATAGAGGTTTTTGTACCAGCTACTCTTCTCAATCAAAAAGTTGTGCAATACACAACAGCATAAAACGATCGCCTTTGCTTTTGTTTCGTTTAGTAATATAGGTCTTTGGAATACTCGAAATCTATTACTTAAAATACCGAGAGCACGTCCAATGCTTTGGTGGCCCCGATTTAAACGTGTATTAAAATTCACACTTTTTGGATCTGTATTTGACTTTGGGTATGGAACCATAAGATTTTTAAGAAGCGGAAAACCATTTCTTCCCAAAATTACGAAAGGCAATTTTCTGTTGTTGCCTACAAGCCGAGGCGGAGGAAAAATTGTGTCTGAATTTTCAACAATATCACTTAGAATGGAGCGGAAGAAGACATCTTCATCACTTATACAACCTTTATACCCAACATCAATAAAGAGAAATTTGTCATTAGCATCAGCAAGTGCTAACAAAACTATGCTTGTATAGCCCTTATTGTTACAAAACAATGAAGACTTTTCTTTGCTAGGAGTGAAAGCAATATGTTTCGCCTCCAATGCGCCTAGGCAATTCGGAAATTGGCACATATCCTCAAAATCATTGGCAACCTCGATCCATTTTTCTTTACTATTAGGAAACTGAAAATAGATAAAATGTGAATCTCTATAACAGGACCTATATTTTTTTTTAAATCACCTTAAGATATCTCCCTTTCATTTTCATGTATATAGCATTGCAAACACTCAGGAAATTCTCCTTCAAATAACTCTGCGACAATGTTAATTTTTCACCCAGTTCCCTGAAATTTTCGCCTGTTACTAAAAAACGTATCGATGCTGCTAATAATGCCTTGCCTGGTATAGACTTCCGAAGATGAGTGTCCTGTTTTTGTATGTTATTCTCTACATATGAATATAGTTCGTTGAAAATGTTTTCGTCCATAAGCAGATAGGACTCCAAACTGCTCATATCACTGGCCAAATTGTACTCTGTGATTAAAGTTTGAATATTCGTACATTCACTTCTATATCTCGGTTTTATGCAGTATATAGCCCCCGCTTTTCTCTTCCTGCGGCGTTTATTTTCTTCCTGTAACGCGCTGATTGCACCAGTAAGGCAAGTGTTAATCACTTGCAAAGCAGCGACGGCAATTCCATTTTCCATTTTAAACTTATTTTCAATTAAATTATAAATAATTAAAAAATGCTTTAAATTTTACATTGCTCCACCTCTACTCGGTTTAATTGTGCTAATCACAAAATAAATGTCAAAATTGTTGTCAAAATCCTTCATCTCCGTTTTTTACTAATGCATGCATACACACACTTTATGTAAGAATTGTTAATCTGCGGAATTCATGTAGTGTGGCCAGCGGCAAAAACTAATTTCCAAAAGCAATCACGAGTACTAGGTGTCATTTCCCTGCTTACATTTGTTATGCAATTAATTAATTATCAAAAAAGAGAACACAACACCATAAGATTTAAAACAATAATTTATGAATGTATCTTTGAGTGTATTTTGCCAAACAAGTATAAATTCATCCCGAAGTGTAACTCACAGCAACAAAAACTTCTATCTTAATTTATTTTTGCATCTTTTACAATCTGTTAAATATCAATAGAAAATATTACAAATAAACTTGTTTTAATTAAATAAACATTATCACCTGAGAACGTAAATAAAAATTTAGTTTAATAAAGTAATTGATAACAAAATAAAGTAGAAACGCGTATGCAACGGAAAGTGAATCAAAACAGAAACATGAAAATGTTGCTAGCAACATTTAAAATGTTTATCACATTTCAGCAACTTGTTGAATAAACCTTCTACCATGGCAGAGACAGAAATTTGTGTACATATTTACTAAATTGCAAAAATGTAATCACCGAAAACATATCAGCAACCGAAATAACAAATATTTATTATTTTTGCAGTATCTTATACATATAGGCTTTGCACATATAAAATGTGGCTATGTTTATAAACATAAAAATGTATGACATGTAGATGGCGCTTGCACAGTAAATAAAAATATGTTTCGTTTAATTTTTTTACGTTAATACAAAAATTCTTCTAAAGCTTAATTAAAAAAACATTAGTAGAGTATATTAATACTTTTCAAAAAGTTTAACAAATTATCACTGAAATCTCAATTTTAAATCAAAACTATAATTGCGGGGCTAATTAATGATTCAGTGGCTTTTTAATTTAAAGATAAAGAATTTTTCATTAAAAACGTATTTTATTTTTCAAGTCTTTTTTTTAGTCCAACACATTTAGTACAACACATTTCTAAGGTTAGTAGTAGTCCCTTCCTAATACCATTGAGCCCTTTACTTAGATCCAGAATAAGGAAATAGTTGGAGAAGCTTAAATTTGGAGAATATCATGGTTAATGTGACGGTCGGATTTTTGCCATACCCATCACATACGTTTGCGTTGTCTTGATGGAAAAGAACATTTTTTTCGCCAGAAGTGGCCGGTTTTACTTTAAGTCGATGTCAAATCTATCCAACAGCTCTAAATCAATTTTACCTGGAAAGTTCCACTAATTTAAATGTTCTTTGGTCTCTAGTTTATTGTGATAAATCCATGTTTCGTTCACAGTTACATACAACACAGAAACTCAAACGAGTTTAAGAAATATGGAGTGCTGTAAATTTTTATAAAATATATTTGCTTCTAAAAACTAAACGGTAAAACGTTTTATTGTTTTAATTTCATAATTTAAATTGAAAATGATTGACTCTCCTCAATTAGCTGAAGAACATTTCTAATGCCACACATCTTGGCATATCTTGGTTTTATAACCAATCGGACTCATTGATGAATACAAGTATTTTGCTCTTTGCTAGACTCTAGATACTCTGAAGTGAGTAAAAGAAGAGCGCTTTAATACTTAACTCTAGTTCTAGATTTAAGGTAAAACAGAGGCATATTAGAGACAGAAACTCTTAAGGGATCTTATGTAGCTTAGACATCGACTCTCCCTAACAGCTCAAAGTGTTCATTTTTCGCTATACCTGCATGGCCAAGAATGCAAACTTTACCCTCAAATTGCTATCCAATGAGATTTTATTTTTTACACTCGTAAGTAGCTGGAATAAGACATAAGTAGCCAGCCGAAGTAGTTTTAATAGCAATCTGACTGTG